GGCAACAGGGCAGAGAGACACTGGCCTCTGCCCCTCCCCCCCAAGTACTTACAACTGACGCAGCCTGGGACATACAGGACAAAGCCAGGCAACAGAGATGTACAGGTCAAGTGCTTGGTTGTGGGTGGGCTGCCAAACGAACTCAGGTACCGACAGGCAGCAGGTCAGGTACCTAATTAGTCTTCCCTTGGGACCTTGTCACGGGTTCTTGGAGGGGCATACTTGCCAGCCTCTTGCCCTGTGACTATGGCCCCTGTAATTAATTTTGGGTTAAAGACTCTGGTTGTGCCTCTTGGACTTCTAACATGAACAATTTGAAATTCCGAAGTGGCACTTCGAACTCCCGAAGCCATTCAAAGTGCCATTAGACCACATGGCGGTGGCCATCTTATGCCGCGAGTACAATGAGCGGTTTTTGGTCGAGTTCATGGAACTCATAATGGACACTCAACGGCGCGAACACTGCTAAACTTTACCTTCCGTGGATGTTCAGCTGTTCGAACGGGAGTCGAACAGCGTTCGGTAAAAAGAAACTCACGAACAAGAGACATACACTGACTTCATCCAGGAACGGCTACGTTCGGTATTTCGAACTGTACTTCAAATCCTCAAAATAAACCGGCCGTACAGCCTGATTCTCTAGAACTGGGGCCGTGCATGTGGTCGGTCAAAATATGACTTCCTTAGAATTTTTGAAACCTTGAACTGATCTGGGTGATTTTTGGATAGGTTGGTCACTCAGATCAGGGCTATCAGTGGATGTAACAATTGATATCATGTATCATGTGTTTTTTAAAATATGTGTTTTTTTCTGCCGGGAGATTATTGGATTAATAGAGTATCTGACTCAATTATCTCCCAGGGATTGTATGTTTGTTATGGGAGTGTCGTGCATTTAATCACTGTTCTTATTGGTCTGTGTCTTTGTGTTGGAGTCCCCTACAAGGTCCATGTATGCATACTGCTTGCATGGGAATTGTCATAAAAGGCCAGTGTGGCACCATTAAAATTGAGTCCTGCTTTACCCTCAACATAAAACCTTGCCTCGTGTTTGTAGGGACCTGCTATACATGCTATATCACCAGCTCTTATAAGAGCTTCACAGCTATACTCTCTTGGAGGAGAGGCCTTCCCACTGGGAGCTGGATCCAGGAGTTTGGACCAGGGTGGGGAGGGACAGCGAGACCCCCAGCCAAGCTACGGTGGCCAGGGGGCTACAGTGCTGATGGTGTCTGGTGGAGTGCTTGGAGTCCTCGGTGAGCACTAGGAGCATCGATTGACTGAGGCACCTGGTCGGGGTGGCAGGCGGTCCGTCACAGTACCTCATACATCTGCTTTCCTTAAGAAGTTAAATAACTGGAGGTTTTTTAGTATCTTTCCAATGACCATTAAAGTGTAAACTCATCTGCTACATTAAAGCAAAACCTTTTAGGAGAGTCATACACTAAGAATTCACCTTGCTGCTTTCAGTTAATAGGCAAAATCTCCAATGAGACAGATAGGGGTATTATGCAATGTATGACTATATACTGTAACTAAATCCCCATTGTTTGTTGTTTTCTTTTGCCCTTTCCCAAAAAAATTTGGGAATAACAATACAATAACACATTAAACAGCATTTCACTCAACCACTATACTGTAGATTTCACTGTAACAATATATCTGTAGCGGAGCTGTGATCCAAAGACCGAATATCTCCGCTGGAATCCTTTGGAGCTGGAAGAAAGCGCTGTTCAGTGATTATAGCCCATTCCACCAGTAACTGGACAACACACAATTCTGGGAGTCAACTGACATTTATTGTGCCACACTTGGCTTTTTATGCACAGACCCCCAGAAGGGGGTCTTCATAGAAAATAGTACAAACTCCTCCCAGGTGTCTCTGTGTATGGGAGATAATTGAGTCCAAGAAAAGCTAACTCAATTATCTCTCAGCTACAGTAAGTAACAGAAAATATTACAAATCATATAAAAATATTACAGGAACCCTACACGTCCGATATCCTCGAATTGCTCAGGTCTGAGCGCCCAACATATCCAAAAAGCGCTCAGATCTGTTTGGTAAAACAAAATCGCCATTCAGGTGACGTTTTGACCCACTTTAAGGGGTTCCTGTATGAACACCGACAAATGCTCCCCCTGCCTCTTAGTGAGCGAATGCTCCCCCCAGTCGGTAGTTCTTATCTCCCAAATGTTGTTTGTGTAGCTGGTCGGAAAAGAATACGGGCAGTGGTACCATCTTTGCCAGGGTCCTCGAGATCGTGTAGCGGAAAGGAGGTCCACGTGCCAAGTATCACTGCCTGCATTCGGGAGACAAAATGGCGGCCATCCAGGGAAAGCACTAATCTTATAATTGCATTTTAACAGAGAGGGGTGGTCGGTGTTCTAAACAAATAAAACAAGTTTAAACTGATAAAACCACACAGGTTCAGTTCGATCCACGAACAGGGGGGAATGTAGCATTTCGGGACACTTAAATATAGGTTCGGGCAACCTCAAGTAATGTTACAAGTACCGCCACAATCTCCAACTGTACACCACTTTCCCCATTAGTAATTGCTCCACTAATATCTGTGGTTATTAAAAGGAATAACCTCCATATCAATCATTGTAGGTAAATATGACACTTGAGAGAAATTAAGAAAGATATAATACATGTCAGATGATTCAGCCCTCATACAGAAATGCAAATATACCAAATGTTGTGCAAACTGATAATTATATGGTCTATACCAGCAGTTCCCAAACTGTGTGCCGCAGTGCCCGAATGTTTCCCTGGTGCTACCAGGGAAACATTACTGCTTAACAGGGGTGCCAGGGTGGGAGGGAGAGCAGGAATCCACAGCATTAGGGGAGAGGAGCACAAAGAGCTCCAGACCCCTCACTCCCACAAACAGCAGCAGGATCAGGACTCCAAGCCACCCTTCTGGACACAGAAGGTAAGCTAACATGAGTGTGTGTGTCAGCGTGTGCATCTGTGTGTGTGTGTGTGTGTGTGTCAGGGTGTGCATATGTGTGTGTATATATGTCAGTGTGCTTCTGTGTCAGTGTGTGTGTCTGTGTGTGCACACACATCTGTGTGTCAGGATATGCATCTGTGTGTCATTTTGTGTGTTTTTATTTCAGTATGTGTATCTGTATCATGGTGTGTGCATGTATCAATGCTTGTGTGTGTCGGTGTATGCGTGTGTTAAGAAGTGTATATGTGTCTGTGTCTATTTGAATGCGTGTGTATGTATATCTGTGTAAGTATGTATGTATGTATGTATGTATGTGGTAGTGTATGTGCATACATCCAAGCAGTCATACATCAGCACAACATACAAACACACTCCTGCAATCTAACACAAATATTACATACAAATACACCCCTGCATTCAAACTCCATAAGGATATATAAACACATCCCTTCACTCAAACACAAATACTTCACAAAAATGTACATCCACATTTAAAAGTGAACATTACATTCAAACACACCTCTGCAATCAAATGCAAACATTACATACAAACACACCCCTTTTTAAAAAACACTAAAACTATATACAAGCACCTCTTCAAACACCAACGCTGTACATTACACTATAGTGCCATTAAATGTTGCAGCGCTGTACAGATATACAACCTAGAAACTTTGACTTGGGGTGCTTTGGAAAAATATTGCAATATTAAAGGACCACTATAGTGCCAGGAAAACATACTCGGCGAAACTGCCGCAGGTGCATCTGCACCGGGGCCCATCAGGTGGCCCAAGCATTTAGGGCCACCCGATGGGCCCTGTATCTTCAGGGGCCCGGTCAGCGCTGCGCCGGGTGATTGCGCGACCGGGCCCCTTTAAAAAAAATAAATTGCGGCTAAACACCGCAAGGGCTGCTGGGAGGAAGTGACGGCCAGTCACTTCCTCCCAGCTTACTCCGCGCGGGGGGAGAGCGGAGGAGACACCAGAAGCATCCACTCCCATCATCCCCAGCCACCCTCCTGCAACTTAAAGGTAAGAGGAGGGTGGCTGATAAATGAGGTGTGTGTGTGTCTGCAAGTATGTCAGTATGTCTGTGTGTGTGTGTATGTCAATATGTATGTCTGTGTGTGTGTGTATGTCAGTATGTATGTCTGTGTGTGTGTATGTCTGTGTGTGTGTGTGTCTGTGTGTGTGTGTGTGTCTGTCTGTCTGTCTGTGTGTATGTCTGTGTGTGTGTGTATGTCTGTGTGTATGTCTGTGTGTATGTCAGTATGTATGTGTGTGTGTGTATGTGTGTGGATGTCAGTATGTATGTCTGTGTGTATGTCAGTATGTGTGTGTATGTCAGTATGTATGTCTGTCTGTGTGTGTGTATGTCTGTCTGTGTGTGTATATCAGTATGTATGTCTGTCTGTGTGTGTGTGTATGTCTGTCTGTGTGTGTGTGTGTGTGTGTGTATGTCAGTATGTATGTGTGTATGTGTGTATGTCAGTGTGTCTGTCTGTGTGTGTGTGTGTGTATGTCAGTATGTATGTGTGTATGTGTGTATGTCAGTATATCTGTGTCTGTGTGTGTGTGTCAGTATGTATGTCTGTGTGTATGTCTGTCTGTGTGTATATGTCAGTATGTATGTGTGTATGTCAGTGTGTATGTCAGTATGTATGTATGTCTGTGTGTGTGTCTGCAAGTATGTATGTCAGTATGCATGTCAGTATGCATGTATGTCTGTGTGTGTATGTCAGTATGTCTGTGTGTATCTGTGTATGTATATATCTGTGTGTGTGTGTGTGTGTATGCATGTATGTTTATCAGTATGTATGTGTATGTATGCCATTATGTATATATGTCAGTATATATTTATGTGTATGTATGTCTGTTTGTCAGTATGTATGTGTGTGTCAGTATGTGAGTATGTATGTACAACAGTGTGTGTGTCTGTATGTCAGTGTGTGTGCGTGTATCTGTGTATGTATCTATATGTATGTCTGTTTCAGTATTTGTGTCTGTTAGTATGTGTGTATCTTTCTGTGTGTCTGTGTCCTTTTGTGTGTGTGTATTCCTGTGGGTGGGATTTGGGGGTGGGGCTTGGAGGCGGGCACACGGGGGCCCAGACCTTGAGCTGTGTTAGGGGCCCCACAATTTCTGATGGCGGCCCTGCACCCTCCCGCCTGGCTCTGGAAAGGGGAAAAGGGGTAAAACTTACCTTTTTCCAGCGCTGGGCGGAGAGCTCTCTGCCTCCGATCCTCCTCTTCTCCTCTTCTCCTCCCATGCGGCTGAATGCGCACGCGTGGCAACAGCTGCGCGCGCATTCAGCCGATCACATGCGCGCGCATTCAGCCGATCACATAGGAAAGCATTATCAATACTTTCCTATGGACGCTTGCGTGCTCTCACTGTGATTTTCACAGTGAGAAGCATGCAAGCGCCTCTAGCGGCTGTCAATGAGACAGCCGCTAGAGGAATTAGAGTTAGTTTAAAATCTCATTCTATAAACATAAGCAGCTCTCCAGCCAAGCAGTGTTTATAAAAGAATGGGTTAAGCCTAGTTGGACCTGGCACCCAGACCACTTCATTAAGCTGAAGTGGTCTGGGTGCCTAGAGTGGTCCTTTAAGGGTGTCTTGAACCTAAAAAGTGGTCTATACTATAAAATAAAAATTAAATAAATACAATTAAAGCAAAGAAATGGCATAAAGTATTGTGCTCGTATTTAAAAAACAACAGAAAGTATAATATTTTAGTTTGAAATTTATGAATGATAGATTTATATGGTCATGGTGGCCAGATTCATCATGTTTTTTTGCACATATATCACAAACATATATTGATGGGCAGCACATGAAAATGGTAGCCCTGTAGTATGTAGAATTCAGATTAAGCAATTGGGCAATGAAGAATCCTGCAACTAAGCAATTAAACAGGAGGAAATAATGCAGAACATGCATTATACATACTGCAGGCATAGGCGTGCACATGGGGTGTGCCGGATGTGCCTGGGCACACCCTAATCCCCCCGGCCTGCGCATGGTTCGAGGCCGGCAGGGGAGATCACAGGATCTCTCCTGTCAGTCTATGTAGAGCCAGCACTATCCAAGCACCGGCCCTGCTGTGTGCCTCCATGGGCCCCATGGGGAGATCAAAGAACTCCCTCACTGGGCCACAGGCAGGGAGGGAGGAAGGAGAAGACCCGGGGAGCTCTAACCAGCAGCTCCGGTGGGTTCCTCTCGCGAAGTCGGAGCATTGCACACAGCACACTAACAGCACCCTGACACACAGCACACTAACAGCACCCTCACACACACACACACACACACACACACAGCACACTAACAGCACCCTCACACACACAGCACACTAACTGCACCCTTACACACACACAGCACACTAACAGCACCCTCACACACACACAGCACACTAACAGCACACACACACACAGCACACTAACAGCACCCTCACACACACACAGCACCCTCACACACACACACATCATCCTCACACACACAGCACACACACAGCACCCTCACACTATCAGCACTATCACACACACACACAACACCCTCACACACAGCACCCTCAAACCCACAGAGCACCCTCAAACACACACACAACACCCTCACACACACACACAAACAGCACCCTCACACACACGCACACATACACACACACACAGCACCCTCACACACACAGCACACTAACTGCACCCTCACATACACAGCAATTTAGAAAATTGGGCACACTAGATGGGCCGAATGGTTCTTATCTGCCGTCACATTCTATGTTTCTATGTTATATATATATTTATATATATATATATATATATAAAAAAAAAAATATATATATATATATATATACACGGTGTGTGTGTGTTTGTGCTTTAGGGTGCACACCCTAATGCGATAGGCTGCGCACGCCTATGACTGCAGGGCAACCCTTTTCATGGTTTTTAATAATATGAAAAACTTTTATGTGTCCCTGTAAACATGGTGGATCTGGTCACCCTGTATATGAAGGAATAGAATAAGTAAAATTTATGGATAGATTTTGAGCTATCATTAGCAGTTGCCAATATCATTTTATAAAGAACAGATTACATAAAGCTGACTTAATGTGTTCCATGAAGAAATTAGTACAATTGTAATGGATGCTATCTCTTTAGCCATGTGCTTTTTCTCCATTTTGACTGTGAATCATATGAAAGGGACCACGCTCTGCTTCTCACACATTGATGTTTCTGGGCAACATTTCCATCGAGTGATCAAATCACTTCCTATGTCCATAACATGCAGTCAGGTAGAAATTCACTCAGATTATCAGAATAGATCAGTGATTCAGTCATGAAACAATACATTGCAAACAGCTTTCTGAAAGCCTTCAGTAACATTCAAAAATCTAAATATTTTGATTAGCTTTGGTGTACATTGTCCTGGTTTAACTTTTCTTAAAACACCAATTTTCTTTGCATTTCCCTTTTACTACCTGAGCTCTGTATTTATACTGAGTGGCCAAGTTAAAGACAAAACAGCACAATGTCTGTCTACTGTAATAGCTAAGTCCCTAGGCAAAATACACACCCGTCCATGCGCACAAACACACACTACAAACAGACAGCATTAAAATGTAAAAAACTTAAATTTAAAGCAGGAGTCTGTTAGAATGTAAATTTAAAGCAGAAGTCTATTAAAACTGCAATTCATTCTACAGCAATAAAACACAGAAACTCATTATTATATAATCTGTTTACACAAGCTACTTGTGTGTATTGGCACTATATTCCAATTAAAAAACGTTTTCTATAAAACATCATAATCTCAGAATTATTCATGCTGCCTAAACAAAATAATAATAATGCAATAGAAACAAAATGACAACAAGGCAGGTTAGTATATACATTTAAGCCATCCACTGCCTATTCTATTTGTTGTAAGAAACTGCATGACTTGTATTCAAACCAAGGGGCTTATAGCTAATGTATAAATACTAGATAAAACCGATATTTCTTTTTATTGATTTTTGTTCGGGGATACCTAAAAAAAAGAATATATTGTAAATTTACAAAGTTTTATATTCAATTCTATTGTTCATTACAGTTTGGAAATTATATAGTATAAGGGATCTCAGACAAAGTCTGAAATATTTGCACAGAAGCCGACATTTCACGTTTTTCACATGCGGTAGGACAATATCCAGCTTATGTCTATTAATTAGAAACCTTGTCACAATTCTCTGCATGCAACTTATTAAAGATGCCACTAGAATATAAAACTGATGGTTAAATGTGGACACAATACTTGTTTACACTAAGCAAAATGACACCAAGAATTTGCATGAACAACTACATGACAAATGCATAGTCGCCCTCTTGGCATATGTTTTACATAACCCATAACCTCCCCAAGAAGACTCAGACACCTTGTTTTGGGGAAAAAACATATCACGGCTTTAATGACGTTAAAAGATGGACACGTAAAAATGTGTTAACATACTTGAACATTACATCTCAACACTAATTCTTTTAACAATTCTACCCAAGACAATGACCCACATAAAGAATAATTAATGCCACATTATAACATCTAATAATATATGAAACATAAACCATCGCCACCATGGCATGATTTTCACAATGTAGGAATATACCAAGATACACCCTACACACACTAGGTTCGGAGCTACCAACAAGCTAAAACCTGCCAATACCATTCCAAACCTAACTGTTCTTAGCGATCTAAAACTATCCTACAGATAAACGAGCGACCTACACCCTAACTTTTTTATCCATCCCCCGCCACTGTGTCCAAACAGGAGCTAAAACAAAGGGAGAGAGGGTGGGACAACAACAGGTAAGTTAGGATTAGTTAAGGTGGCCCCTAATCTAAAATGGCCCTTATATATATTCCCACAGCCAAAACCCCTCCCCCACTTTCTCCTAGCCAATCACAAACATTACCCACATTCTATGCCTGTCTCCTAGCAATGTCAAGGCCCATTCCCCTTAACTACTCTGTTCCATGACTACATCACATCTGCAAGAAATCACTGTAGTGTGTCTAGGGTGCTTGAATACCTCTCTAAATTCGCACCCTTCTCTGGCTGCTAAAACAAATCTCTGAAATTTGATGTGCAAAGATTTCTGTAGCATGTGAAAAATGGACATATATGCCAAATTCAAGACTGAAAATGAAGAAGGCCCCTATGCAGAAATGCCAGACAAATGTGTTTGTGTGCAGAGTGAAAAACAGAACTAGATGAAACGGAAAGATGAAAGTTATTTTATGGGCTTTATCCATTGCTTTACCTATTTAAAGGCAATTTATATATATATATATATATATATATATATTTAGGTAATGTCCATCCCCATGTTTAATTATTTATTTACATTTCAGTATTACAATACATTTACACAATACACCTGAAATCTATGCTTTGCAGAAGCTCCAAAAACATCAAGCATAATTTTTATGTGGGTATAAGTTTTGCCATATTGCAGTAGAATTCAGGTACATTTCCCATTGAAGATGGGGTTATAGGCTGTTCACCTCAAGAGTGGTATATTGTCATGGAAAACTGGTTCTGTGGCAGCTACAAAAGGCATTCAATAATAAGGAGAAATTTATATTGAATTAAGGTTCTTTCCTGATATACAAACATTGCCACTCCTCTGGGAATTAAAAACATTCCTGTATGGTAATTTCAATGTATTTCTACAACTGAACTTGCATACTTGAATATTTGCGGTGATTAGCACGCTCATTACCTATATACACTCTTTTTTGTTGTTTGTTTAAGGTAATGTTTGTGACTGGCTGCAATCATCTGTATGAATCTGATCACAAAACAGCCTATTTTCTATTTCTTTATTTTATATACACATACATTACCTAACATGGAATATTAAAGATTTGTTATGTAAAGTATTCATTTCATTTAATTCTTTACAATATGTTAGTTGTGAACTCCTGTTTTGGGGGTATTGATATTTACCTGTGGTTTTCTGGATCCTGTCTCTTTGATATATAAAGCAAATAAAGATACATGTTACC